GCTCATCTGAAGCCGGGCACTAATGTGAACTAATGTGCCAGCTCCCTCTCCTGCTGATTCTCTCTTCTTAGGCATCAACCGCTCTCTGAGAAGCATTTTCCGTGAAAAACAAAGCTGCTATCTCTGGTCCTCGGCATAGCGTGCTGATTCATCGTTTAGAACACATATCTTGGCAGGTAAGTTGGAAGTTAGAATCTTATTTGAAAACATTTCTAATTTCAAAACTTAACTTAAAAAAGAACGCTATGTATGACTTAACAAACCTCGACCCTTTAAGCAGTATCCGGAGTTCTTTGAGGAGGCGTTCCCATGGGTATGAGAAGGCGAACTAGACCCAGGGTCTGGCAGTGGGCTGGGTCCTGCAGTCTGGATGGAGCGCAAGGGCTGCTTGGAGGGGAAGGGGAGGGGGCAGCTGAGCAGTAATGGGCTGGCTCTTTTTCAAGATTCTCTCTCCTCACTGGGTTAAAAGACATAAGGTAGACTTTTCAAAACCTGTTACTTTACTGTCTATATGCTTTACTGCTTACATGCTAACGGCTCTCTAATTCCACTGCCTCCTCTTGTCCTGCCTGAAATGCACCCTTTGCAATGCCTCTTTTCTGTTTCACTTCATCTCACTTTCTACAGTTGTTCTCTGCCCTCTGTTGGTAGGTTCTCTAGCACAGGTCTTGTGTGTACACGATAATTGCAGGAGTCAAAGCATTGTCGTGCAGGCTGGATTGGTCAAGCAGAGTGAAGACTGAAGGGTGGTTTGCTCCTCTGGACTCCTAAAGGCCAGGGAACCATGCTCTGGTTTGAAACCAAGTTACTGACAGTTCAGGCAACTTAGGAAACTGTCAAGCTCTGACCCGGGAGTCGGTATGGGAGCTCAGGACACGCCGTGGAGAAGATTAGCATGATGGCCCCAGAACTCAGCTAGAGTCTCAGTGCTCCTTTGACCCGAGCAGGAGTTTTTTTTACTAAGGGAAAACATATTTGTCTTGGAAGAAGTATGACCAGTGTGTTCTTTACAGCAGTGATGCTCAACCTTCCTAATGCCGTGACCCTCTCATACCGTTCCTTAGGTGGTGGTGACCCCCCAACCATAAAATTATTTTTGTTGCTACTTCATCACTGTGATTTTGCTATTGTTATGAATCAGGCAACCCCTGTGAAAGGGTCATTCGACCCCCCAAAGGGGTCGCGACCCACAGATTGAGAACCGCTGCTTTAGAGGCAAGGATGACCAGACTTCATCTGACATACTTTGGGCATGTTGTCAGCAGAGACCAGTCCCTGGAGAAGAACATCATGCTTGGCAAAGTCAAGGGGCTGCACAGGCACAGGAACAATGGTGAGGGTGTCACAGGAACGGGCAGAGGGTGGCTATGGGTCGGAACTGACCCGATGGCACCTAACAGCAACAAAGAAATAGGCGTTTCACGGTGGTTAAGTGCTTGGCCGCTACAGGGCAGGTCAGTGCTGGGAACCCACCCAGCAGCTCCACGGGAGAAAGGCTGGTAGAGCTGTTCCCATGAAGTTCAAACCCAAACCCAAACCCAGCTCACTGCCAGGGAGTGGACAGAGTAGAACTGCAGCTGTGGGCTTCTGAGACCAGGGGGAACATCTCGTTTTTCTTTTGCCGAGTGACTGGTGGGTTCAAATCGCTGCCTTGTGGCAAAGTCCAATTTGTAATCTACTAGGCCACCAGGGCAGTTTTAGGCTGAATGTTAGGGTTCTCTACAGAAACAGAACCAGCACACTCATGATTTTATATATATTTATACAGATAGATAGATATATAACATATGTCTAATAAACAGCTAATTATAGAACAGTACAAATGGCTCAGTGCCACTCACTTCCATGAGACAACTAATACACTGGCAGCCCTTCAAGTCTTGAGGGCCACCAGGTGCAAGTCAACGAAGCAGACAGCTGAGTCCTCTGTAGAGCAATTCAGGCAATCCAGCCACAGGCAGCAAACAGCATGGCAGGTCACCAATAGTCAGCCAGATGACAGGGCCCGACAGTCCCCAGCTCAAGTAATGTATACTCTACTAGCGTGACAAAACAGGTCTTGAAGGAACCTCAAACGACAGTGACACAGTCCACGGGTTAGGTGTCCCACAGGTTGTGTAGCTTGCAAATTGAGGCAGAGAGCAAGCTCAGGCAGACGCACACTGGTCCGATCATCAAAGAGCAAGAGGCCAGAAAGACAAGGCTCATGGAGCCATTTATCTCTCCGCCCTTCAATGAATCCCAAATGTGTTCCTCGGCCAGGTTGGCACCATACTCCTACCGAGTGCGGTCTGTTACCTGGGGTTATGAGGAGTTCGAATCGACACCACCACCAACAGTAACAACAAGGAGCAGGGCAGCTTGGAAACCCCAGTAGGTTCTGTCTGCCAGCCATTCGGTGCTCTGCAGTGCAGGTGCTGATGGGAAATGAGGGTTTGGGCTGGCCCTGTCCCAAGAGAGCTCATAGAGAGGTATCTGAGGAGTAGGTTGGATCTTGAGTGCTTCTCGGTCCCAAAGGGTCCCTAGATGGGTTGGCATGGGTTGCAAGGGCTGTAGCTGGATCATCAAAAACAGACAACAGTGTATTGTCCTATCCATGAGAGCCATCACGTTTTGGGTAGTTGGCATATTTGGATAACCAAAGATCTCTTCGATATTTTCAGCCTTCCCCTAAAAGTGAAAAACAACATACAAACCTCACTGGTTGCCGAGAGACCATATGAAATGATTTGATTTCCATCTCCTTGCCCCTCCCTATTTTCAAGTATCAAGGGCCAGTTGGCAAGACGATGGCTGGGGCCAGGCGCTTCAGAGCCTCGTCCCCGCCCAGGCAGAGCTCTCCTTAGGGTTCAGAACAGCGAGCTATCATGCGCTCAAGTTTGTCTGGCAGTCTGGGTCACCACGATGGCTGGGATCTGCAGGTGTTCCTGAGAGACGCAGGCCACTGGTGTTGTTAGGCGCCATCGAGTGGGCGCCCCCTGCGACCCTCTGCACAACAGAACGAAACACTGCCCGGTCCTGCACCATCCTCACAATTGTCCCCATGCCTGAGCCCCCGGTTGCAGCCACTGTGTTGGGCCGTCTCGTTGAAGGCCTCCCTCGTCTTCGCTGCTGTGATTCTGGCAGACACGGAGACTGTGCAGCTCTGCTTCTCTCGCAAAGCTCCGGCGTATGGTTGCTTAAAAAGTACGGTTTGGTCGCCTCTCTGTCAAATGTTAAGAGCTATGTTTTCTTCAGACGGTAGAGTTACCAATTCCGGCGGTTCCATTCTTTTTTCCCTTGCCCGTGCAGAACAGAATTCCTTTCCACTGTCTGCCAGTGTGGGCTGTCTGTCTGGAAGGAGAGTGACCATCCCCTCCGTCCTAGAGATGGAATTTTCATCAGCCCCACTGGGCTTGGAGCAAGAAACCTGGCCAGCGAGGCTCGACTTTGGCTTCTGAGCTCTAGGTGTTGCTAAAGGTGAGGACTGCCTTATTCTGTGTTTTTTTTCTTTTCTCTCTCACCCTTGTAGCACGTGCAAGG